ATAAATAAATACCGATAAATTCAGTGTCACACAAAATTATTATGATGTAACATGACAGAGATGTTTATTTTATGCCTTAACACCACTTAAATCAGATTTGTCTGTTTTTTTAGTACAAAGATTAATATGATTCATTTTCTATAGCCACACTCTATTTGGTGCATTTATTTACTCAGCTAACCAATCCCAATACTCCCTTATGTTTTTACATTTATTTAGCTAATTAGAAAGTTTATTGATTATTTACCTCTCTTAAATTCAGTGAAAACTCTAGCAAAGATCGGTCAGATGAATTTTTTTGACCAGTTTTCCCTGGAGTCTGTCCTTCAGGACTACAGCAGAGTGTCTCTTTGATCTATTCTCTCCATTTTCAGCTCAAGCGGCTCTTGCCAGGACGTATTCTCGTGTCAGTCTAAGTGCATTTCTTTGCTTGGTTGCTCACTTGGGCCTTTAGTTCTGCCACTTTGTAAAGCTGCTTGGAGACAATCGCCACTGTTATGCGTGCTATAAATAAAGTTAATTAACTTGAATTGAATTTTAATTTTTTTTTAACAGAGTACAGCGAGTCCTTCCCGTAATCCACTCTCCCTCTCTCTCTCTCTCACTGGGTGTTCCTGCTATGTCCGTCTTTTTCCCCAGTCTCCATCTGTTCCTTCTCCTCCCACGCTTTCCAACCGAGGGATGGATGGATGGATGGATGGATGGATGAGGAGATTGTGAGGGTTTTGATATGTGTATGTTTGTGTTGTGTGTAGGAGGGAGGTGCTGATAGGACAGTCATCTGCTGTAACAGTTTGCTACAGACTGGACACCCCTGTGGGAAATGCATAATTTGTACCACCTTGTGTCAGCAGTCTTGAGTAGCTTCAGAGCGTAACAGCTGTAAGAAAAGTGTGTGTGTGTGTGTGTGTGTGTTGTGTTTGTTGATTTGTATTAATTAGAGAAGTTACGCAATTCTTGGAGGGTAGAAGAACTTTTAGAGGACCACATATGCATTAATTATTTTGTTTGTAAGCGGTTACAGATATTCTTTAGAGGAAAAGTTAACTCATTGAAGCATGTGATTAATTAAATATGAAATATTTATATTACATAGTGTGATTGCTATGTATACAATATGTACTTAGAATTACATTTATATAAAATAATAAAATAGTAATTGAATATAATGTGTTTATGTATACACATATGCAGTTTGTTTGGTCATTTTTAAATTAATATATAGGTGGCCAAAGAAAAATAAGCAATTGTAAGACAATAAAGTACCACAATTAGTAATTAAAAATGATAAATAAATAAAACAGCATATATATATATATATATATATATATATAATGCAGTTTTAAATTATGTAAATCAAAATTTAAAATTAATTTAATTATTAAAATGGTGTAGCTGCTGTTAATGCATTTAATAAAAATGCTTTTTAAATTGTAAGCAGCAATAAAGTGCCAAAAATGTATCATTAATTATTAATAAAATTAATTTAATATGAATAAAACACTGTTCTGTGTATATTCCTATATATATATATATATATGAATATTATAGAGTAAATTATAATTTCAAATGTTTTTAATTCTTTAAAAATAATTTAACTGCTGCTAATGCAGTTCTTCAATTTGATATTGATGTTCACACATGCACAAAGCCCTTCTCTGTAATTAAAGTATATTTACTGAGTATTATTTATAAATTTCATTTATTTCATGGGACATGCAAAAGTACAGTCATTTGCAAGCTGGATTTGAACTTACCAAAAAAAAGAAAAGATTTTGACAGATTTTCTCTTTGGTGTCACACCTAGAAGCCATCGAAAATCTCTGAAATATTTGAATCCTCATTCTGAGAGAGACATTCAGTTAGGCACAGTTGGATAAAAGGCACAATACTGATCCAAACGGTAATGCGAGACTGTAAAGACCGCAGATCCCATGAACTGAGTGAAGGGTCACGACCCCTGAGAATGCCCAGTGTGTGACACTGACACCAAGACTGTCACGCTTCAAAACAATGAACAACATGTCTCTCTCTCTCACATGCTCACTAATCTGCTGGTGATAGATGACACATTGCTATCAACACTATGCAGGGGTCACGGCTAGAGGAGTCACCATACCTTGTTTCACTGGCTCACAAACTTTCATTAAGAGTGCAAACCATGGGTGTATTATATGCTAAGCTAATGCTGTCGGGACAAATGACAGTAAATGTCCTTGAGCAATGTCAACACCCCTCACTGGAATAATCGCCAGAGAACATGTGGACGGGCATGTGAGGAGAGGGCATATGGATCCATGAGCAATCAATATAGAAATCTTCTGGAGAAATAACTCAGTGTGTCAAAAGAATTTACAATAAAATGAGGTGGTATTAATTTGGTAGGGTTTGAAACATGACAGAACTTTTTTTGATGAACTATCCCTTTAATGTTTCTAATGGTTCTGTATAGGTTTTGACACGATATCATACAAACTTTCCCATGGCTGTGTGAGAATGTGAGCTCACCCTACAAAAATCAAACTCCCTGGAGTCTCTCGTATTGATTCGCTGCTCTCTGATGTGAGAATTGAGCTGGGCTGCCAATCAATGACAGGATCAGAGCAATAATACCAATGAAACATGAGCCAATGTCCAGAGAGAGACCACCACAGAGAAAGCTTATTCCATATCACACATTTATTTATGATCATATTTTATGATCGCTTTGACTGAACATTTACATTGCTTTTTACCTTATGTTAAATCAATGACGTTTACTGAATGTTGCATCACAAATGTGACTGATTCTTGCCCATGCAATACTTGCCTCATCAGTGCTAGAATGTTCTGGGTGGTCACCAGGGTGTCACTATGGAGTTGCTAAAGTCTTCTGAGAGGATTTTATCCCAAGTGTTTGTCAGGGTGTTTTTAGTGGTTGCCAGGGTCTTGCTAAGTGTTCGGGTATTGTGAATAATTTGTAGGGCAGGTATTTTATATAATTATTTATACAGTGTTAGTGTATTTTGAATAATTGCTAGGATGTTGATAAGTGTTTGTTAGGGTGTTGTGGGTGGTTTCCAGGGCATTACGTTGGTTAGGGTATTTTGCTAAGTGGTTGTTAGAGATGAGTCACACACTGAAGTTTAATATTTAAGGTTAGGGATGCAAAATAAAGCCCTAACCACAAGTATGCGCACTAATAATAGTGACGGTTGCCTTAGTAAGCATTACGAATCCAGTGTCTTGTTTGGGGGTTTGACATACAATCAGGTACCACATTGTACAATGGTCAGTGAAATCCAGCTAACACCTCTCGACCATCTTTCAGACCTCGCTGAGGCTCTACAAGCGAAGATGATCAAAGGAAACCCCTCAGAGATACTAGCCTGTAGTGTTTACAGCTAGGGCTATGCTAAGTGTTTATTTGGGTATTGCTAGGGTGTTTCTGAGTGTTAGGGTGTTTTGAATAATTGCTAGGATGTTGCAGTGAAGTGTTTGTTAGTGTATTGTAGGTGGTTGCCAGGGTGTTGTTAAGCATGAGGGTATTTTAATTGTTGCTAGGACATTGCTAAGTGTTTGATAGGATGTTCTGTGTGGTCTCTAAGGCATTGCAAAGTGTTGGCTATGATATTTTGGGGAGGCTCTACAAGCGAAGATGATCAAAGGAAACCCCTCAGAGATACTAGCCTGTAGTGTTTACAGAAGCCAGAGGAATAATGCCGTCACTGAGGGCTCATTAGGGTTCAACATGCTCCTGACCCAGATCAAAGACCCAGCGTGTGGCTGTACTGGGCTGTTTACGATCTTCGGCTCTTTACAGCGGGAATGAGTCAAAGAAGAGGTCTCAAGAGGCGTAAACACTCTGGCAGACACTAAAATGCACCTCTTTAATGACGACCAAACTCTTGCTGCAGCTCTTTGTACGTCCCAGAATCCTCCTGGGAGTGCGGCCTGTCCCGTAAAGCAGCAAGCAGCAAGAAGCAAGCGCTCATTAGTTTAAGGCAGGCCTGTAAGTGCATTAAATAATTCACTTTCTACATTTCCCACCTCACATCCTTCTTTCTCCCCGACTCCTTTTTATGAGGTCAGGTCAATCATTTGCTTTTCAGAGGCTTTTTTCTCTGCTTGTGAGCTTTTGGACCTTCATCAATCTTTGAGAGCTTTTTAAAGGTATTCAACCATACCACGAGTCAGGGAAACAGTGGGCTCATCTAACATACATGAACTGAGGTGAGCAGGGCATGTAAGGAAACGTGTGCGAGTGACAGGAAAAGAAATTAAATGGGGAAAAGTATGGCCAAAACATACTATAACTCATAATTTAGCTCGATTTCATACGCCATTGTGCTTTGAAATTAATTGTTTTAGAGTGCAATTCATAATGCAACAGAAGTTTGCACTATATTCTACAAAAACTGCCACAAGTAACGCTATAGGAAAATTAGGACAAATGGTATTTTTGTTGGGTGATTTTTAAGGTAAATTAAGGTAAGTTATGACAGAGCTAGAGTTAAGGTGTGAACAGATTTCGCATCGGGTTCAGTTGGCCATACAAATTTGCCACTTTGACAAACAGACTTGTTTGGTTTGAAAGTTTTTTGCCTGAAAAAAATGTTAGAGTTGATATTTTTAAAACTTGTTACCTAAATAATACATACAGTATGCTGACACAGACATGAAATTATCTGTATCGCCCCCTTGAGAACAGACTAAGGTTTGTATCGAAGCCTGTTTCAATTCAAGTTTTCAATTCAATTCAAGTTTATTTGTATAGCGCTTTTCACGATACAAATCTTTGCAAAGCAACTTTACAGAAAATTAAGTTCTGTACGAGTCCACCCATGTTTCCACCCACCTAAACTAAGAAATAAATTGACGTCGCAACTTCGAAAAAGTCACAATTTGGAGAAAATTCTAAATTAGCTATATTACTATATATAGCTATATTAGCTCCATTAGCTGACCTCAAAAATGACTTGAAATACATGACAAAATAAGGAATAACAAACAAAAACAGATTTTTCACAATCGATAATTTATTGACATCATAAAACAGCATTTCCAGTTGTGTTTGGCCCTGTGATTGACACTGCTAAGACTTCAAATACACACATACAATCTTCCTCTTTCTCGTACATAAATGAAATCACTGTGACCGTTATGAAGATAGTTTGTGTATCTGAGATTTTAACATGTCCATCTGTAACAGTCCCTCATGTTATCAGACCCCAAACACACACACACACACACGGAATACATATATGTCTTCACCTGTCTAGCACACAGATAAATAAACATCTAATACAGCAAGGCTCTGATAAATCAACAATATAAATCTCGACCTCTGAATCATGATAAATGTGGAAAAATAAACCAAAGAACAAAACGAAATGTCCAAAACTAGATTTATCTTCTCTTTTAATGAGAACCAAGATAAAATATTTGCTTTTAGGGTAGTTGTTCTTTTGGCATCCGTTCCATTTGCTCTAGGCGATTCTTTTGTACATACAGAATATAAACAATACAGCGTTTGATCAGAGGGGGACGTAATGTTTCTCTAGGAGTCATAACACGGGTGACACACCTGCCCTCAGGAACAACAGCATGGAAACACAACCTTTATTACGTGTGTTTGTGTAACAGGGATCAACTGTAACAGCGTGTCAAGTATTCCATTCCAAATAAACGCACGCGCACACGCCACATAGGAAGGGATATCCTGGATACCAGCACATGTAAAGGACACACGCACTCTGACCGTCCATTTAACTCACAAACACACACAGCACACATATACACACTTTTGACCGCCTCTGCGTCAGTGTTATTACTGGTTCGTATGACACACAGCTACTAGAATCTCAAGATTGTATGTTTCGGGACATGTTTCGGGAAGCACCGTGGTTTGATGAAACCGCTGTGTCAGTCACCCGCTTCACTGTGACAGCAGCTTGAAAAGGTTTCTCATTGGTCCACTTGTACTGTGGTATGAAACTGACCAATGGGAGTGCTGGAGGGGGCGGGGTTTTCGGGTGAGCGGCACCCCTACTATACAGAAGCCGGTGGAAATTCTAGCACAGAAAGAAGGAAGGAATAGGAAGGGAAACACAATGAGAGTGAAGCAGTGTGGAAAAGTTCACACTGATAACCGTGTCGATTCGAGTTCGGCAGATCCACGTCTGAGAACCGATAAAAAGGTCGGAGGGGGTGGGAAAGGCATTCCAGGACAGAAGAAGAGTTTCGGTGTGTGTGTTTAAGGGCTGTGGTTCATGCATGACTCACGGACAGAGGTTTTGTCGGTGGTGAGCGCTCGGAGTGTCTCAGAGGGTGCGGGGAATGATGGTGAAAGGTAAGATGGGACAGCTGGCCTCCAGCTCCAGGGCAGTGAGGAAGCATTCGGTCGCGGCAGCGTCGTTGCCCTGCGCTTGCAGCACTTCTCCCAGACTGTTCCACACGTCATGGGCCGTGCTGTTCACCTGCAACAGGCTGGTAGGTTTTAATTAGGGTTGGAGCTGTTGCATGCAGGGCTGCGGCTCTCCAGGACCGGAGTTCGTCACCCCTGGTTTATATAATCAGTGGTTTTTGAAAAATCAGTTTGGGAAAAATATTTTATGTATTTTTATATATTATATATTTCTAATAACTGCTTATTTTATATATATATTTATATATATATTATTAGAATGATTCCTGAAGGATCATGTAACACTGAAGACTAGTGTAATGGGTATTGGCTGCTGAAAATTCAGTTTTGCTATCACAGGAATAAATTACTATTATTATTAAATCAATTTGAAATATATTAAACTGAAAAAATTAAAATATTACTGATTTTATTGTATTATTTAAATGCGTAATGTTTTTTCAATTAAATTAAATTTAATAAAAATGTTTTATTTAATATTTTAATTTAATTTAATTCTGATATTATTTTTTACAGTTTCTGTTCTGCAAATACGCATTGTTCTTCATATTTGGTTTGTCAAATGTGTCAAAATGATCACAGACCTCTGTATTTCCATAAAACAATTCTATAAGAATTCAGTTATCTGTTGTGTTTGTTTTGACAATGTCATAAAATCTTGTCTGAATGCACAACGTGGTATTTCTAACATATTCTTTATAGTACACAGATCACACACACACACACACACACACACACACAAAAGAAGGTCAGAGAGGGAGAGATTTGACAGAGACAGGGGCAATACTTCCTCCTGCTGCTGTCTACTACAGTGGAGCTCCTTTATAAGACATGACGTTTCTGCTTACTATTAAGACACACACAGCCGGAGACAGCAGCACTCACTCACTCACACACACACACACACACTTCCGCTGACAAGTCTCCACATCCTGGACTCATTGTCTGCTAAATACTGACATGGGACGAGATCTGGACTCTTTTCTCCATCTTAGCGTGACGATCCCCCAAACACATAACCAAACGTTCCCACAGGAAGAGTAAAACCTGAAATCAACTGCATTGCGGGGAGCAATAAACATGAAAGTGTAAAACTGCAAAAGGGTTTCAGTTAGTGGCTAAACAGCATGTGCTCACCAGTCTCTGCATGGTCTTGACGTGGGTGGGGCTGATGGACAGCGCCTCCTCGTACCAGCGCTTGGCCTCGTCCACGTTCCCCCGCAGCTCCGCCACCTGACCCTTCATAAACAACACGTTACGGGACATGGGGAACAGGTTGGCAGCTTCCTGCGTACACGCTGTTGCCTCCGCCGCCTTTCCCATTCCAATATACACCTCCGCTGTGGAAAGACAGAGAGAGAGAAAATAAGTGATCAAGAGAAAACAGTGGAAGAAGCATTGCTGGGGTTTATTTCTTATCTGGAGTCACACAGAAAATGTGATTCTCAGACAGGCTGTCAGCTGTCAGTTTCATAGCTCACAAACAGTGAGGAGACAGAGAGACTGATGGGAGATTAACGTTGGAGGGGTGTCCTCCCTCTTCAGCCAACAAACTCCAGGGAAAGTGACTACTAAGCATGTTTACTCTTGACACCTTTCTCACCCTGCCAAGTCCTGCTAAGGTTCCCTCACTTGGCTCAGTGACAGTCAAGCTGGTTAAAGAATAATTAGTCTTAGTAACTGAGTTGATTGTCTTTTTCTGAGAAAACAAATTAAAGGATTTTTGATTTATGATTAAACCTAAATTATTAGGTTTATTTCTAATTTCAATCATTTCTAACATTTCAACGTTTTTCATCTTTTCAGTTTTTCAATTTTAGTTTTAGTTTTTTAGTTAATTTTACTTTATTTTTTTATTTTAGTTTTAGTAATTTAGTACTTCAACTTTAACTTTTATTTGTTAATTCAGTTCACTTTTATTTTATTTTATTTCTAATTTCAATCATTTCTAACATTTCTCAGTTTTTCATGTAATATTTACATATTTCAGGTATTTATTTTAATTAACAAAAACCATTTTTAATAGTTTTAGAATTAGTTAACAATAACATTTGTTACTGAACTAATCTGCATTTCTAAACTAATTGTTTGAATGAATGATTCAATGATCAATTCATAAAGACAGTGACCTGCTATATTTTTTATAGTTTTAGCTAACAATAGTAACACTGTTACTGTTACTGAACAAATTAGCCGTTTTGAACAAATCGTTTGAGTGAATGATTCAGTGACTTGTTCATTAAGACAGTTCAAGTTTTATATTTAAAGTATCATTTCTTTTTCAAAATCATTTAATATTTAAATATTCAAAATTGTATTTTAACACAGTAATCTCATTCTGTTATTTAGGCAATTGTAATAGCAGTGTAAATGCATTCAGGCCACCTCTGAACTGCATTAAACAGTGTAAATACAAGATGCAGCTTCTGTGTCACACTGGCAGAGCACAGATGACTTTTGTTGATCCTGGTTTCATTTGATTACTAACAGCCCTATGGTGTCTTATTATTCTAATTAACTTTAGTCTTTAAAATGAATATGACATTATAACTTTAGTCTATAAAATGAATATGACAATATGACATACCATTTAAAAATTGCCCTTATAAAGGTAAAAATACCCCTGGAAATCAATTTAAGGGGGCAAGTATTGCCTCTTGATGAGAAAGATAATTTCTGTCACTGCTATGATCTAACTAACACTGCTCTTGAAAACTTGTGGAGTCAGCTATCCACGACAGGCCTAAACCAACCATGGTACCAGCAGAAAAACGCTCACACACCCCTATTTACTGTGCATTCACGCTGTTCTTATCAGTACTTATTTGGCCTGGGAATCAGACCCATGACCTTGGAGCTGCTAGCAGAACTTTCCTAAACTTCACTGCATTTAATTCAGCCACATTCACAAGTAACCACAATTGCTTGTCTATTCATAAATGCTGATTGTAGACAGAGCAAAAGCCTCCAGATGGGGAATTTGATCCTGCTGGATATGGTTTAATGTATTTGCTTGGACAAAGGATGCTATTAATAACAACCTGGGTTTACAAAGCAGTGAGGAATAAGCTGTCCATATTTAAACATAGTGTTCTATTACAGTTTGTTTAGAACTTAAGCTATATTTTATTTCAAGATTACAGAATATGCCGTTTATTAAACCCGGACCCGAACAATGTAACAATAGAATGTGGGCATGACTTATGTTAAAAGGATGCAAATTAGGGCTGTGGGTGAGGTTTGTACCTGCATGCAGCCAGATCTGGGCAAGGGTCATCCAAGGGTGGAGGGGTCCCTGTTTCGGAGCACTGCTCTGAAGGGAAGAGGCCACCTCAGAGAGCGCCTGCTCCACCCGTGACGCTGCTATGGAAGTGGCGTGGACGGAACCTGCGGTGGAAACATAGACAGTCGGCAACGACACGTACATAGGAGCTTCTCTACATATATCCCACAACACTGCAGATATTAGTAGTGAAAACTTCGATCTAGAATTTTGTTCATATACACATGAAGGCCAAATAGCAGTTGATCACAGCTAATCCCTGTTCTCAACAGTGCTATTATTGTTAACTAAAAGTAGTATTAAAACCAAAACTTTTAGAAATTGTTAATTAAATTAAAGCTGTAATAAAATGAAATATAAATATTTGATGAAAAATTGTAAAGAATTAACTGTTGCCTTGGCAACAAAGTAAAATAAAATAACATACTAAAACAGAAACTGAAATAAAAATAATTTAAAGGGGTCATATGATGCAATTTCATTTTTTCCTTTCTCTTTGGAGTGTTACAAGCTCTTGGTGCATAAAGAAGATCTGTAAAGTTGCAAAGACTAAAGTCTCAAATCCAAAGAGATATTCTTTATCAATCAGAGCACACCTCGCTTTTTCAGATCGATGAGCTTTGTAAAAATCGACGCGTTTCAGAAGGCGGGGCATACAGGAGAAACAATAATGTACAGTATGTGGAAAATAATGTTTTTTTTTAACTTTAAACCGCATAAACACATTTCATTACACCAAATACACCAAATAATGTTCTTTTTAGCAGCATCATATGACCCCTTTTAAAGCTAAAAAATTAAAACTAATAAAAAACTATCAAGCACAACAAAATTACTAAAAAAGGTGGCACCGATAGCTTTGTGGGCAGTGCGCCGACATACAGCGCCTTTGCGCTACAGGCATCCCGAGTTTGAATCATGACTCGAGGACGTTTCCAAATCCCGCCCCCTTCGCTTCCTGTCAGCTTTGATCTGTCCTATCATAACAAAGGCAAAAATGCCAAAAATAATTCTTAACATTTTTTTTTTAATTAAATTAAAACTCGTTCTTATATATTTAACACATAAGAGTGTTACAGTTTTTCTATTCTAATGTACAAGTTAAAAAAAATAACACTAGTCATTTCTAATCTCTAGACAATTTAATGTGAGAGAATTTTAGGAAATGCAAGGGTAAAGAAACACCATGACAAGATCCAACAATCTGTAGTCAACTTTTAGAAATTTCCAAAAGGTGGACAATACTTTAACAAGCACATTTACACACACCACTTAAACACAAACAGCATAAGATTATTAATAGTGAATAAATGAAGCTCTGCACATTTGCTGCTACTTTCCACAAATTTACCAAATCCTGCATTTTAAAAGTGCTGGCTGCAACATGTAAATCACATTTCATATCAGAGCAACTGATCAATGCAAATGTGGCTGTGTTTTCCTGTCTGCTCAGCTTGAATAAGAGTGCATTCAATTAAATGCATAGTTCACTCAAAATGACATTCTGGTTCTCATTTACAATCATTTTAAATTCGCAAATCTTTTCAAATAATTTCTCCTTTTGTGTTCCACAGAAGAAACTACATTCAAATGTTTGGGGTTGGTAAAATTTTTTAAAAGTCAAAAATACAATAAAAACATGACAATTCAGAATTTTTAGCAGCCAGAAGCAAATGACATCCTGTAGTGGAAGTAATTTGGGTTTTTAAATGACCGAACCTTCAGTTCTGGGTGAGCTATTCCTTTACCAGTTTTACTAATAAATTCAAGATTTGGCCTCAGGTCCTTTTCAATTTGCTAGACTCAGGAGATGAACTGAAGACACCACATCAGTTTCCTGAACTGGGTGAACTGAAATGAAATTGCCCCCTGCAGTTCAGCGATCACAGAGTCCCTATTTGTCTTAGCTATGGTCAGGGCATCAGTGTGGTCATTAAAGTCTCTGTCGGGGTTCAGAGGAACATATTAGGATCCTCAAGAGCCTCTATGAGTCATAGGCTGGACTTTATCGACCAGACCAGCGGGACATAAAACACATTCGGACTGAAATCGATCCCTGTACATCTCAGTTTCTTTCTCTTTAGCAATGAGCCTGTTGAGTATCCATAGCTGCTGCTCCTATGTTTAGCGTTTCTATGGTAACAGTGAACAAAGCCATGGATCACAGGACCAAACACTGAGAATCTGACCCTTATCTGTACTGAGTTTAAAAGGCTTCCAGGGGATCTCTTCATGAATGTCCTATACCAAGGATTTTTAAAAAAATCACTCATGGAGGCCACAAGAATGAACAACTTTAAACCGTGAAACAAAACATTTAATACACAAGCAAACAGTTATTTATGGCTGTTCTAGGTTTTATCGATATAACAATAATCTCTATTTAAAGGTGGACAGTTCATCCAAAAATGAAAATTGTCATGTTTCTTATTCTCATGTTGTTTCGAACCTTTATGACCTTCAGTTCTCATTTTAAATCGCACTTCCTGAGACAACATGTTGTCAAATGCATTAATATACCACCGTTTAAAAGTTTGGGGTCAGAAAGAATTATGCTTTTTGAAAGAAATTAACACTTTTATTCAGCAATGATGCATCAAATTGATCAAAAGTGAGTAAATAAATTTATAACATTACAAAAGATTTCTATTTCAAATAAATGCTGTTCTTTTGAACTAAAATGTAATAAATGTAATCAATTGAATTATTACTTTAAATTATATTAGTATTTCACAATATGCTTGTTTTTACTGTATTTTGTTCAGAAATACAATACCCTGGAGGGGTAACAAATTCTATTATATGACTTTAGAAAACTTGGATTTAAGCTCAAAAGTCCAATAAATTACTTTTTATGGTGCTGTTTTGTAATTTTGGAACTTGGCAACATATGTCTGCATTTTCACTGTGTGGAAGAGCAGCTTGAACATCGTGCTCAACTTCTCAATTTGAGTTTTACAAAAGAAAGTCATACAGATTGGAACAACATGGGCAAAAGATCCTAAATTATTCATTTAAGTGTGAACTCTCTGTAAGTCTCTATTAGGGCTTGACGATATGACCTAAAATCAAAATCTCGATTAATTGAACATTTTACCTTGATTACGATTAATGAACGATTATTTTATTTATTTACTTATTTGCCCTCATAGTTCACTGACAAGGTTTGTACTGTAAATATGCTCAACTATTAAAGGTGGGATATTTTTTCTAATGAAAGAGTGCATTTCTTTGTGATTTTAAAAGAACTGAAGGAAACAAACTATTTATGGTTATTTATTGAATATTTCGAACAATTGAATTCAAAGCACACATCTCTTGAAATGAAAACGTCTTATGAAAAAAAGTCACATTTCAGTTTTAATGTAAAAAAGGGGGGAAACTCTGTGGAAAAAATGCGACTGGGCTAATTTTGGTCTTGTTTTGAATAACAATCGGGCTGGTTTTGTTTCGCAGACCTGGCAACCCTGGGGAAAGTATTCACAGGATTGAAAAATCAAAATAACCGATGTGGAAAAATTACATCGGGTAGAGGTTCTGAATTTCGATTTCGATTACTTTTCGATTAATCGTCCAGCCCTATTCTCTATTTTATTTTTTATTTTTTTAATACAAACTACTGAAGTAGGGGAAGCCATCAGGCCATTGCCCTCAAAGCGCTGCCATCACTCTGTAGGGTTAAGGTTGATGACAAGAACTTTCTAAAGTGTCAACAGCTTCACATCTCTTTTAAGCACATGCGTGTGCACACGCAAACTCAAACAGACTCCCATGATGCATCAGACCAGCCTGCAGAAAGAGCGTGACCATGGAGCTCCATGCTAGGAGTGGGAAAGCATCATCACACGCAATCACACACACACATAAAAAGCAATATGTTTTTAAAGAGACAGTACTTTCTTCACCAGAACCTGCTGTAAATATACAGAAAGTCTTTGGTTTGTAATGCAACTCCCCTTTTTGGCATTCCTAGAAGCTTGCGATAACAGCACATGTCAGTTTTTTTCTGCAAACAGGCACATTTAAGTTCATAATTAAGTTCAGAATCATTTATTCTCATCATTATCATTATTAATTTATTTCTATTAAATACAGGGCACATCATTTCCCAGTTACTTTCCATTGAATTTTTACAAGCTATGACCATTTCCAGATACTGTTTCCATTGCAATTGGCCATAAATGAGCACCTCTCAGCACGATCATGACACCAGCGATCCCGTCCTCTTAAACGTTTCATCGCTCTGTTAACAGAGCCTGGACTTTAGAAACAGCTGCTAAATGTGAGACACTAAAGGAAATTACAGCTTGTGATCTACGGTCCAGAGACCTAGGTGCTATTCCATCAGATACCACACACCCAATTTATATCAAGTGACCCTAATGACAAATAAAAAAAAAATTAAATAAAAACTTTTAAAATAATTACAGGATCAGTCAAAGTCCCTCTAAATGTGCCTGATTTCACTCAGGTTTCAAATAAAATGAAACAATAATCTTAAACTGGGATTAAACTATGGACTGTCAGATGGAATTAAAAGAGCTTAAGTCTAATTTTGGATTGATGGTTAAAAAATTACAGCACATTTTAGACAAGGTCATTGCTCTCCTGAGGCACCAAATGATTTAGATTGATTTTTAATCACAGAACACTTTTATAGGGCTTGTGATAACAAGAAACAGGTAGCATGTATATTTACATACACACTACTGTTCATAAGTTTGGGCTCAGTAAGATTTTTTGACGAAGAAATTATTTTTTTGTTCTGAAAGGATGCATTAAATTAATCAAAAGTGACAGTCAACACATTTGTTAAGACTTAATGTTTATCAAAGAATCCTGAAAACAATGTGTCACAGCTTCCACAAAAATCTTACTGACCCCAAACTTTTAGACAGTAGTGTAAATAAAAAAAATAAAACAAATTTGCCATACCATTAATAATAATAACGAATTGTATCATTAAAACTAATAAGAAGTCAGAATCCAAACACTGCTAAAAGTACCAATAAATATGTGGCTTTAAGCAGCAGTATACGTTAAACCCTGTTTGAGCCTGGAGGAACAATACTGTCTCTTTAATTATTAAGAACCGAGGCCAAATGAGTGCATTTACGTCTCTCTCCAGCACAAAGAGGCCGGGGACACAAAACGCCAGGAGAGGACACACACACAATAAGAGGGCAAAACAAAAGGTAAGAGGCAACAAGTCCATTGAACACATTATGCTGGAGTGTGTCGGAGTGTCTTAACAGACAGGTGGTAGGTGCACTCTGCCGAGGGGGAGAAGGCCAGCGAGGCAATGAAGCAGGTGTGTGTGTGTGCTTGTGTATAAAGGCAGAGCAGTAACAGCAAGAGCTACTTACAAACCCCAATAAAGGAGTCAAAACCATGAAAGAAAGCGTCTGGAAGGTTGCCTTGGAAACCAAAAAGAACAACAAAAAGGGGGCAATTACTCATAAAAAATTGGAACTAAAACAACAACAACAACCACAACAACAGAAATTTTACAAAAACACAGAAATATAACAGAAAAAAAAATTGATTCTGTCTGACTTTCTGTAATACCACAAACCAAAGTGTCAGGAGTCCTCTTTAGGCCCTGTAAAGCCTGTATCTGTGATTCTCACGCTCTGCGGACACAGACTGGCAGGTGCACAGGTGTGTGACACTGTGTTTGAGGCTGTAAGAGTGTAAATGCAATGGTCTGGATGCACAAACACTGCACAGTGAGAAGAGTAACAGCAGAAACTGTGAATCACATGCACAGCATTACAGAAGACAGACAGAGAGGAAGACAGACGCTGTTTACACCTGGTGTTAATATCCGTCTCGGGTGGTCTGATCATATGTGGACACTGAGATTCAAATAGAGTCCAAAACCGAAAGTTTTGTGATCCTATTTGCAGTGGAAGCATGAATGCATCCTGATGTGTGTCAGACAACAGGGAAGGACCGCCTACTCACCTGTCAGTCATCCGCTGGGCTACAACATTTAAACTTTGCTGGATAACTTTGACTATAAAATAACCATTTGTTGGCAGTTATGTCTGACTCCACTGTCTATTTTTCCAGTTTGACAGACTTTAGTGGACATCACTTACTATGTCAGTTAATGTGCAAAAATTTGGGGTTGATTATGAGGTTATAAGTTTTATATAGGTCCCTATGAAATCTGTTTTATTTTTTCAAAATATTTTTTTTCCCGTCTTTAATATTTCATTTAATGGTTAAATAAAAAAATATGAATATAAAAAACTTGTGTAATTAATTAAAATCATGAAACGTACACAATTTAACGACAATTAAAGGCACAATATGTAATTTTTGCCGCTAGAGGACGCGTATTCAAAATAAACAAAGAGGCAAAGGCGTAGTTTGATGGCGCCGCGACTGAGTGTGGAATCATGGGAGTTGTCGTCTTCATCCCCACAGCCGATGCAATCCGACAGGACTCGGCAGAAATCATGTTCATGGATGAGCTAATGATTTATTAACATAGTAGAA